TCAAAAATACAAAAATGAAGTATATTACCAAGTAACCCAGTGAGAACTGCTTGCCTATCATTTTAGTTGAAAATACAAGAAGTTTTATTCCAAGCAAGCATCGCAAGCCCGCTAGGTTAATTTCTGCTGCTTGCTTGGAATAAAATTTCTTGTATTTTATATTAAAATGATAGGCAAGCAATTCTGTTAAAAGCACTGGCACTGAACGTTTCGCTTCATGCAGTCTATTTTGCAATTTTTTTAAAATGATGTCAATCCCGAAAATCTCGGGATTAGGAAAATTTAATCCCGAAAATTTTGGGACTGAAAAGTTGTCGGGATCCCGGGATCCCGATTTTCGAGATCCCGGGATCAAATCCTCTACTCCTGACTAATTCATAATTACAGCCTAATTAAATACTTACAGATTATATTTTTAAAAATTTGTTTTATGTATTTTACAAATATTATATAATATTTTATGTATAAGTAAAAAATCATAAAATAAAAACTAAAAGATTAAGAAATGCTTTACAAAATTCTGTAATTTTTGATTTTTCAAATTTTAAATTAGCCAAAAATTTTGTAAAAATATAATATAAACACACGAAGTTATTTATAGTTTAAATGATCTATCAGTTTTATGTATTAATAAGTTAAAAACTTATATTTTCTATTGTTATATTTAAGGCAGTTTACTGATATGGTATATTTTGATATGGATATTGATATGGATATTTTGATATGGATATTTTGATATGGATATTGAAAAAGATACATTAACACCAAAATATACCATATCTTTTTCAAATATGTAAAATTGTTTGTGTAAAATTTTTTGATAACATTTTTAATTTAATATGAAAGTACTGTGTAAATACTGTATACTCAAACTTTTTCCATCTTAATTTATTGATCTAGTGATTTAACATATATCAGTAAATAAGCAATGGTAAATTATGGTTGAAATTTAAATGTGATTTATTAAAGGTACCAACAATTTATTAAAAACTGTCAAAGTTTTCATATAGTAATGTTAATCTTAAATTTACTATTATAATTATTTATTAACCATAACATTTTATTCTATACAATAATACTAAAGGAAAACATTATTATTAACAATATATTATACAGAAAAATATTAACAGCTGAGCTTGACTGAAAAGACAAATAACAATTCATATCAGTTTTCAATACTTCTAAAATGGATTGATTATTTTTATTAATACATTCTGTTTGTCTTAAACTTTCTATGTGATAATCAGAATTTTTGAAATTAGTTGCTATATTGTTATAGTTTTTTTCTCTAATCCAATCTCTGATCCAAGCTAAATTACAGTCACAATTCCAAGGATTTCCAGATAACAGCAGAGAAAGCAATTTTACTTGATGTATCTGAAAAAATAAATATTATTTAAAAAACAATCAAGTTAGATAAAATATGAAGAATTTTAGACTTACATATTTGAAATGATGATTATTTCTTACATCTTCAATTTTTTTCAGTTTATTATTTTTTACGTCTATCTTAAGCTTCATTATTTTGCCAAGATTATAAAAAAATCTTGACGATAATTCAGTTAAGTTTGTATTATAAATATGTATTGTTAAATCTCGTTTCTCCAATGATTCGAAGAAAAAGTCATTAATTGATTGAAGTTTTTCTCCTTGTAATGTTATTGTTTTAAGAGATTTAGGGAAATTATATTTTTTCTTATATTCAAAATCATTTTCTTGTACATGCAGTTTTAAATGTCTTAATCCTTGATTATTTGAAATTATTTTACCTAAATCATATAATTCATTTTCTGAATATGTATTCATTTCTAATTTTTGAAGAGATCTTAATAATTTAAATACACCAATTTGAATGTGTTGAAGTGGCAAATCTTGTATGCATAATTCTTCTAATTGATTTAATCCAAAAAAGCTATCATTCGTTAAATTTAAAATAGGATTACCAGAAAGATAAAGATTCTTTAGAAATGGGAGATTTTGCCAAGTACTATTAGGATGAGAAGGTAACGAAAAATTATTATAAGACAGATCTAATACATGTAATGTCGATAAATTAGAAAACTTTCCAGAATCTAAAAATGATATTTGATTATAAGATAAATTTAGATTTAATAATTTAGGGAGGTTCAAATCAGGAATAAATGATAAATTCGTTCCAGCTAAATCTAATGTATGGAGGGATTTTGGAAGTGTTTTTAATGTCTGGTAAAATTTTTGTTGAAAAAGATTGTGAGACAGATTTAACACAAGCTGAAAAGGAAAGAAAAAATGAAAATACTCAGATAATAAAATAAAATTGAAAAATTGATAAATTTTCAGAAAATGCAAAATTAAATTTAAAAAAATTAATTAGATTACATGAAATAAAACTATTATTTTTCAATTCTGTAATAATGAAAAATGGAAAATTTAATTAAAATTATTTTTTATAAGTTTATATCAACAAATTACAGTAGTACCTCAGGATACAAAATTAATCCGTTCCGAAACTGAGATCGTATCATGAAAATGTCATAAGGTGAATCATTTTTCCCCATATGATTACATGTAAAACCAAATAAATTGTTCCAACATGAAAAACACACTCAAATTAAAGCTAAGTAGTACATTGAAAAAAAATAACTTTAGTAAGGAAAATACTGAAAAATGCGTTTTGTAGTTATAAATGTATAAATAACCATAATAGAATAATAATTGATTAAAAAAATGTACTTTTATTTGCACTTTACCTTTGAGGATAGACGATGGTGGAGGTGTAAACTGGTGGCAAAGGAGAGGGAGAAGGGAAATAATACTAAAACTTAACTTACATAACATAATGTAACAATAACTTAACACTAATTTTTTATCTTTTCTGTTTTATATATATTTTTTTAATTTTTTATTCACTGCTTTTTGCTTTCTTTTCTTCACTTCCACCAGCACTTTCACTGGATAGAGGTTGCTTGGTAAAATATCTATCCAAAGAAGTTTGGCTTTGCCTACTTTTTAAAATGTTTTTAAAATGACTTAGGCAAACGTCATTACTCTGAGCAGCAATACCCAGCCAGTGTGAACGTTTTCGGAATGTTTCTTTTCAATAAAATCAGTCACTTTCTGATAATACCTCAAGATTTCCTTTATCAAGTGAGATCCTTCCATGACGAAGCAAATACGTGGACTGAGACCAATGAACAGAAGTGAATAAAAAATGGCACTGCAAACTAATGTAACGTCGTACAGTAAGTTTTTGTTTGTACCGTGGAGCAAAAATATGTTCGAATTTCATGTCGTATCCTGAAAATTTTGTATGCTGGAGTGTTTGTATCCTGAGGTACTACTGTATTTGTTACAAAATATTTGGTCTATTTAAGGAATCCAATTTACAAAATATTATTTTTTTATGCTAGATTTGTTAAAAAACAATTAAAAATACTTTTATTCTAAAATGCAAGTCTGAAATAAAAATACAAATTAAAAATAAGTCTGAATCAAATATATAATTCAGATTTAGACTTTTGGTTTCTTAAATAGTAAATCTTTATCAATTTAGAAATATATGAATATGTTTGTACTTACAAGTTTCGGTAACCAGCTTAAAGAGGTTTCTTCAATTTGTCGAAAATGATTCTTTGAAAGATCCAGCCAAACTAGATTTTCTAAATATTTCATATGATCGAAATGAAGTAAACGAATCTTGTTATGTGAAAGATCAAGGTATTTTAAGGTTTTGTTGATGGCTTGAAGTGCTTCGTGTGGAAAATGGATCATTTTATTGTGAGAAATGGATAATATTTCTAGTTTTGTTCTTTTAAATATATCATCTGGTAAACCACGTAGAATATTATATGAAACATCAAGTATTCGTAAATTTGTATTTTCTTGGAAAATATCTGCTTGCAAATCTATTATGTTGTTATGAGAAATGTTTAATAATAATAGGTTTTCCATTCCTGTTAGTGCATCCTCTTCAATAATATTAATAGAATTTTGATCAAGTTTCAAGTTCTGAAGATGATAAAGATTTGCTAAAGTTGTTGCAGTTATATTAAACAAGTTATTAGAACTTAATGATAACTCTGTGAGAGAAGATTTCATTGAGTCTAAATAAAAAGAATCTATATAGGATATGTTATTTCCAGTAAAATCAAATACTTTAATTTCACGAAATGGCTGCCAGTTTGAATCATTTTTTATTAGTTTATTAATCTTATTATAACTTACATCAATTTTTAAAGTAGACATAGTCCCAACTTGATTAAAAGCATCTATATTTAAATTTTCCATTTCATTATAAGCAAAATTCAATGATTTAATTTCTATTAAATTTTGGAATGATTCTGATTCCAATTCTTCTATTTTATTTCCTTCCAAATTGATATGGGTGATTGAATGAAGATTAACAAATGAAAAACTTTCAATAAATTGTATATTATTATCATTTAATTCCAGATATTTTAAATTGCGAAGATTTGAAAATGTATGCTGTTTTAAATTTTTAATTTTATTAAAAGAAATTTTTAAAATTTCTAAATTTGGGTTATTGACATATTGAAAATGATCAGGAGTAATTTCTGTAAGAAGATTATGATTTAAATTGAGAAATTTTAATTTTTGCATGTATGCAAATGTATTAGTTGGAATAAATACAATATTATTAGCACTTAAATCAAGTTCATATAATTCAGATAACTCTTTAAATGGTTCAGGTTCCAGTTTTGATAGTGAAAATGCTTGATGCAAGAATAATGTTTCTAAAGAATAACCAATGTCTTTAAATGCCATTGGTTGAATATTGGAAATGCTGTTGAAAGATAAATCGAGGAACCGTAATCCTGGTAAATTGCGAAAAGCATTATTTTCAATACTGGAAATTCCATTCCTTTTAAGACTCAATTTTTCAAATGGATGGGAATTTTCAAGTATTTTAAATGTTTCTTTACTTAATATATTTCCATGGATTCCATTCAAACTTAATCTTCTCATATTATACATAGAACTTAATTCTGTAAATGATAGAGTCACCATATACTTTCCACTTACATCAAGTTGTTGTAAGTTTTTTCTAATATTTTGAAATGCATTATTTGGGAACAAGTTAATTCTGTTCTCTGCAATATTTAAATTCTTCAACTTATTCAAGATTTTTAATGCTGACTGAGGGAAAATAGAAATGTTATTTAAATGCAAATCCAATACTTGTAGACTATTATCAAGCCCATCAAAAGAATTTGGATGTATTGTAGTAATTTCACAGTTGTCTATGTATAATTCTTTAATATTTGTATCTTTAAATGCATTTTCGTTAATTATCTCTATTGGATTCCCAGTCAAAAATGTTTTATTGATAAAATTAAAATTTTGGAATGATAAAGGTAATAATGATTTAATTATGTTATTTTTTAAATTTAACTCATCAAGAGAGAGTTTTGTTTGAAAAAGTGAATCAAATATAGCATGAATTCTATTATCCATTAAGTTTAAAATTTGCAAATTTTTTAAATTAGCAAATGCTGCAAATGGAATTTTTATGAGCTGGTTGTTTGAGAGATTAATATTCTTTAGTTGATTAGATCCTTGTTGAAATGCCATATCATGCACAGTAATAATCATATTTGAAGAAAGATCTAAAGTATGCAAGAACTCAAAATCTTTAAAACTATCTAAATTGATATGAGTTAGGGAATTTCCTGCAAGATTCAAAATTTTAAGAGTTTGTTTTATTCCAAAAAAATCATCATTGTAAATATCAGATATATGATTATAAGATAAATCCAATATTTCAAGCTTTTCTAAACTTATTAATGCTTCTCTAGGGATTTGAAAAATTTCATTATAACTTAGGTATAATTCTCGAAGCGTCTTTCCTACACCAAAAAATAGCTTCTTCGGTATGTTAGTCAGTAAATTATTTTGGATTTCTAATCTCCACAAGCTTTTTTCAAAATATCTATTTTCATCTAAAATTCTTAGTCCATTGTACTTAAGACTAAGAATATATAATGTTTTATTGTATAATTCTTGAGGTAGACTTATTAATGGTACTTGATGGCAGTTTACTAGATTAGGATTTGGTCCAGCTTTTGCACAAGTACATAAAGGATTGAAATTACAAAGAGGATGCTGAATGTCATCTGAATAGCTAACACTCAAAATAAAAAATACTATTGGTGTGAATTTAGGTAGGTCCATCTGAAAAAGAATGTAAAGTATTTTTCACACAGAGAATTTACCAAAAATAGTAAACTATTGAATTTGTCTAATTATATATCAAGTTAGCTATTATAGCTTTCTGTAATTTTTAATATATTCTGCCCCTATCTGGAAATATTTTATGCTTTTTATGACATTTGTATGAGTTTTAAAAACAAAAACTAAAAGTATAAATATTAATAATAAAATTAAAAAAATAAACTATTAATAAATAATTATTTTAATTGAATAAATCTTTTATATAATTTATTACTTTTAAGAAAGCTATTACTTACCTTCAGTCTTTAATTAGTAATTTTATACTTTAATGAAACTTATACTTTCCATTCAAACTAAAATCATAAAAAAATAACATTATCAATGTGTATAAAAATTATCAAAGCAACTTAAAATCTGTTCTTGTCAGAGTTTTGTATTCATCTATATTTTACATTATTCATATGCTTTCTTGACAAAAATATAATTAATTTAACTAGAAATGGCAGTAACGAAACCTTTCAATTGTGAAGCCTCTAAAATGCAAGGATTGTAAAATGCTATTTATTGATGAATGAATAATCCGAACAAACTGATAATTAAGTTTTTTTTTTATTTCTCTTACATATACAGTTTTATATTTACATTAACATGTGCTTAAATAAGATTATTATTATTTTTTATAGCATTTTAAAATTGTTTTTCATAGTGCATCATTCTAAATATAATTTAAATAATTTGGGAACTAATTGGTTGTTAAAGCATTAAAATTTATAATACATATTGAAAATTTTAAGGTAAATTTAATGAAAGATTTAAAATTATTTAATTAAATTTTTATTTTATTTCCGATAATTTGTATATTAAATAAAAGCTACATTAAATCATTTTTATATATATTAAAAATTTGTTTAATATTGTTTAAAGAATTATTTAGAAAAAAAATTGTAAAATTAACTAATAGAATATAAATGATAAAATATTTGAGATTTTGTGTAATAATTTTTAAAATGTAGAAAGTTTCATTATATGATTTTAATAAAAATTTGAAAGATGATGATAAATCATTCATTTGTAAATTAACAAATCATACCTTTACTGCTTTCTAAGAGTAAACTCTAAAGTATTTAGAGCTCTAAATATTTAGAAGCTCCACAAATTATTATGTAACCTAACCTAAGGCTTACCAGTACACAAATTTCTAAGCTAATTTTTTTTGGGGCTGTCAGCTCAGGAAGATTAGAAATTTGTGTATCAGTAATAACATTTACCAGTGTTTAATTATTATATATATAAAGTTTTAGTTTTAGTACTAAAACTCTCTATTTGTGTGACTAAAACTATGCTAACATATAATTATATTATTTGCAATTATATATAAAATTGATATTGTTTATATAAAAAAATTATATGTAAATTATAATGTACTCCACATCTGTATTGCAAAGCAATAATACAGATATTTATGAAATACTATCTATATATAAAATGCATCTACAGGATTTACATAGTAAAGATGCTAAATCCATACAAGATTTCAGTATTATTTATTTTAAAAATAAAACAGAATTAAACATTTTAATTTTTTGTTTTATCTTGTTATTTTTATATCTGTAGGATATTAAATGATTCAATAAGAATATTTTAATTTTATATAATTTTCCAAATTATAAAAAATTATTAAATATGTAGTGTATTTTAACTTAAATTTGTTGAATGCTTAAATATAAGTTTTCTTACATATAATTTAAAAATTAAATTTCAGTTTGATAATATTATATTTCTGACATCTGGAAATAATTTTGAGTCTACACTTCCATCAAGTATTTTAAAAGATTTTATGAAAAAATACAGAAATACTGTAAACAAAAATGTACTACATGTTGAAGTCGATTTAACAGGAAATCAAAACAGGTAAAATAATTTTATATACAATATATAATAAATATATGTCAGTTTTGATTTTAAAAATTATATCATTTATTAATTAATATAAAAAGTATTTCTTTGAAATAATTATTATTATTTGTTTTTCTGAATACTATTATAGATTAATAAATAACTGATATTTTATACTTTTTTATGCATTTAAAGTATAAAGTTATAACACTTAAAAAGTTATACATTTAAAGTTAGAAATACATTATTTCTAACTTTTTATACATTTCAAACCTTAAAAGTATCATATATTTTCCTTATATAATGAAATGATGACTATAAAATATTCAAAGTTAATATTTAAAAATATTATTATTTATATAATCATAATAAAAGTCAAAACAAATTCTTATGAAAAATTGAGGTTTTTTTTTAAAAATATATTTCTGTAACGAAATTTGTGTAAAAATTTTTAAAAATATATTATCTGCTTCAACAAGTGAAATAATCACAGGTTTTTTCAAATCTAAAAGAATTTATTCAGAATTTAAAAATGTTTTTTACTGTAAAGAATTCAGCTTTACAACACTACTTGGATTAAAAGAAATTGTTCTAAAAATCTTAGATTTGCATAAATGCACATTAAAAAAAAACGTCAAAAAATATAAATTGTTTATTGTGTCATCATATGAAAATGAACTCTTTTTAACTCTGAATAAAACATTAATCATCAAAAGTTGAATTCAATATAATTCAAAAACATTTGTCTGTATAATTCAAAAACCATAACCAAGTCCAATAATTCAATATATTAATATAATATATATATAATTACAGTAAGACCTGCTTAATACTGCCGCGATTAATGCTGATTCCATATAACGTGGTCTGCTTGAACTCTTTTTAACTCTGAATAAAACATTAATCATCAAAAGTTGAATTCAATATAATTCAAAAACATTTATCTGCATAATTCAAAAACCATAACCAAATCCAAAAAATGGTTAAGTGATCATAACTTAGTCATCATCAAGATGGATAAGAGCAAGACTTTTGTTTTATTGAAGAAGGAAGCGTACATTTCTATGATTCAAACTTACATCCATGATACAAAATGCAAACCCATTGATGAAGGATTTGTCAACAAGCTACAAGCATGTGTGAAAAGATTTACACATGCTTGCAAGAGTGTTTGAAATAAACAGGGCTGTGATTGATTCTCCTGACACTCCCAGGCTATTTGTGTTTGCCAAAACCCACAAGGATAATCCTCCTATGAAACCTGTCCTTGACAAGGCTAGATCCCGAACTAGGGCTTTAGAAACTGCCATACACAAATGTATAGTTCACAGCTTGAATAATTATCCATGGCAATCAAGAACCCCATTGAGTTAATAGACACTTTGAGATCACTTACCATAACTGAGCAGACCCACATCACTATATTTGATTTTGTTTCATTATACCTGTCTATAAAAATCCAACCTTGCTTTTGTGCAATTAGGGATCTACTACTAAACTATCATGGTACTACATCACACTGTAAACACATATTAGAACTGGCCCACATTCTTTGCTACACATCCTTTTTCCGTTTCAACAACAAGACTTGCATTCAAAAATGTGGTGTTCCTATGGACAGCCCACTATCTGGGGATTTATGTAAATTAGTGATTAGACAACTTGAACAAAGAATCATACCCCTATTTATGCCCAACATCCTTATATATAAAAGATATGTGGATGACATCCTTATTTTATGGAAAACTGAGCCCAATAGTAGCCATTTCATAGGGGCAATGAACAATAACCTGTATGGCCTATGTATCAAGTTAGACCAGATGAGCAATGCAAATGCAAACTTCTCAGACATAAATCTGCAAATGGATGGCAGCAAGATATTAACTAAGGTCCATTACAAGTCATGATAGACTCTGTTATTCATCCCAGTCAGTTCAGCAGACCCCTTCTCTTACAAAATAGCTGCCTTCCAGGCACTAACCAAAAGATCGTTCACCCACAACTCTAATTTCGAAGACACGCTTTCTGAATTACAGTGCATCCAGCACACAGCCACACAACACGGATATGATAAAAAATTAATTTATAACATTGCTTGGGCTTATTCTTCACAATTAAACCCTAATAACAATACAGATAATTGCACTCACAACACAGGTAACAATAGGTCTCTGGCTGTGGTTGAATATAACCACCACCTTGAATCTATTTACAGAGAAATTGCAAAGTATACAAACAAAAAGATTGCTTACAAGAGACCTAATACTATATATAACCTTCTGTGTAATGGCAAGGACAAAATAGACAAAAAACTCACTCCAGGGGTATACTCTATACCTCTATGGGATGACAGGTTTCAAAGAGAGCTTGTGTATGTTCGGTCAATGAAATGATCTCTCAACAGGCATCTGCGTGAACACAAATATGATATCGATCACAACAAAGATAATACCGCCCTATCCACTTATGCTTCGACACCTGCATAAGTACTGATCTTAACAATGCCAAACTGATCAGATTCTCAAACCATTTGGAACACTTACGATCTCTAGAAACCCTTGAAATATATAAGGCCTGATTACATACTAACTGCATCAATTCCAAGGATGCTATTAATATATCTCATGCTTGAAGGTTCAAGTACGAATGTGATGACAACCCCACAACACAGTTTAACTCACATATCAATCTGTTACATTATATGTATTTTTAATACACATCTGATATATTAGTGTATTTAGTATGCACATTTACTTTCACTTGCATGTTGCATGATGTCTATGGCAACATTACATCTGCATCCATGGCAACAAACACGCACAACGGTTTTGTACGAAAGATTTGAAAATTTCTAAATGTTTAAATCGTATCACAAAACTGTTCTTAGAATCTCAATAATTGTAAACCTGATGAAGACGACTGATATTTAAGGTCGAAAACATTTGTTATCTCAATGAAATGTTTTTACTGGACATTCAAAGGTTTTAGTCAGTCATTTTTTATATAATTTCCAGTATCCTTTATAAGAAGCTGTTGAATTTACCTCAAAATATTAGCTATTTCAAATTAAAAGGAGTTTGGTATAATTTTTATGGAGAAAATAACTCATTAAGCATACAGTATGTGAGTGTGAAGAACCTATGGATTTGAGGAGTCAGATGGACTTATTATTTTGTGAAAGATTTTAATATGAAGTAGAACTATTTGAAAAGAAAGAAGAAAAAAATATATTTGTATTAAATAAATCTATATATATAAAATTACTTGTCCTGACTGACTGACTGAGTCACTGATTCATCATCACCCAGAGCAAACCGCTGAACCTAAACAGGTGAAATTTGGTACACAGTTAGGGTACGTCATGGAAACGCACACTAAGAAAGGATTTTTCGAAATTCCAACGCGGGGGGGAGAGGGAGAGGATTAAGGCTTAACCGGAAAAACGGCTTCTACTCTACTATTTTAGATGCGATTTTTTGTTTTTATCTGCGTTTTAGTAGGGAATGCCATGGCAATGCACAATAAGAAGGGATTTTTCGAAATTCCAACGCGGGGGGGTGAGGGAGAGCATTAAGGCTTAACCGGAAGAACGGCTTCTACTG